CTGTGTCTGCAGGAGAGAGAGTGACCATGTCCTGCAGGGCCAGTCAGAGCATTAGCAACTACCTACACTGGTACCAACAGAAGCCAGGCCAGGCTCCTAGGCTCCTCATTAAAGTTGCTTCCACCCTAGAGTCTGGGGTCCCATCGAGGTTCAGTGGCAGTGGCTCTGGGACAGATTTCTCCCTCACAATCAGCAATGTGGAGGCTGAGGATGCTGCAGTCTACTTTTGTCAGCAGAGCTATAACTGGCCTCCCACAGTGCTACAGCTCTGAACAAAAACCTGCCCAGGCAGCAGCTGAGGGAGGCATCACTGCCCAGGGGCTTCTCCTTCCCCCCAGCTGGGTCAGAGGCAGCTTGTCTGGGCTGCCTCAGGGAGAGGTTTCTGGGTCTCAGAGGAAGATGCTGTGGCTGTGACCAGTTCTGACCTGGATGTCTTTCCCAACCAAAAATCATGGAGCGTCGCAATCTAAATGATGAAATGACCTCTCAAAGGTGGGCTTCTCTAGCCCATAGCTGACCAAGAGTCCCCTTTCCAAATTCTCAAACAAATGTTCTTATAGCTTGGCTTGAAGACCCCCAGGACAGGAAGTCTATCTACCTAGGGAGCTGGGTGGTGCAGTAGATAGAGTCAGGTATGTTGTCAAGAAGACCTGAGTTCAAATCCAGCCTCAGACACTTAATAGCTGTGTCATGTTGGGCAAGTCTCTTAACCTCTGTTTGTCTTAGTTTTCTTACCTGTAAAATGGAAATCAGAATAGCACCAACTGCTGGGGTTGTTGTGAGGACCTAATGAGATAATAAAGCATTTGGCACTGTGCCTGGCCCTTAGTAAGCACTACAGGAATGTTGCCTCACTTTATTATTATTACCACCTCCAATAATGGATCAGCAATTACACTTTTCCATGGTTCTCATTACCAGGGAGTTCGGTAATATAACTGGATTCGACTCTAACGATTAGGGAATTTCTTTTTTTTTTTTGGGTCCTGATATGTGACACAATGTGCCTCTTGGTAACTTCTTTCCATTGTTCCTTGCTCTGTGCTCTGGACTGAACAGAATGAACCCAATCCCTGAGTGTCGGACAGACTCCAGTGCTTTTGTGGTGTTCTGCCTTAATGAAACCACAAATGAACAAAGTCAAACCAAATGAATCCAAGGAGTAGCCATGCTTTAAATGTATGTCTCTGTACGTTGTGTCCATCGCTTCTCCATCAAAAGGTGGTAACCCACTTCCTCATGGTCCCAAGGTTTTCTAGTCTTGCCCTGGTTTGGAGCACCTCGCGAGTAATGCTTTTCCTCCTGGGGGCCCCATTTTAGAATGAACTTAGACAGGGAGGCTTAGGGATGGGGAAGCGGGGGAGCAAGGGAGGCGGGATAGGGAAAGGACCAGAGGCCAAGAGAAGGAAGGAAACAGGAAGCTTAGCTTGGTGGTGGACCGCCATGGGGATATGTAATAACTGCCTTCAGGCATCCAAGGGGTGTTACAAGGAAGAGGGAGTGACTTGTTCTGCCTGATACCAAACCCCAGAAATAGGAGCAAAGGGTGGAAGGGGCACAGAGGCAGACTTTAGTATTAATCTAAGGACAGACTCCCTGGCAATGAGAACCACGTAAAAGTGTAATTGATCTTCCATTCTTGGAGGGAGTAATAATAATGAGAGTGAACATTTTTAGGGTGCTTACTAAGTGCCAGGCACAGTGCCGAGCACTTTACCATTATTATCTCACTTGATCCTCACAACAACCTTAGGAGTTAGTGCTGTTTATCTTTGCCATTTTATAGATGAGAAAAAAAAAGGCAAACAAAGGTTAAGTGACTTGCCCAACATGACACAGCTATTATGTGTCTGAGGCTGGATTTGAACTCAAGTCTTCTTGACAATATGCCTGGCTCTATCCATTGCACCACCCAGCTCCCTAGGTAGATAGACTCCCTGTCCTGGAGGTCTTCAAGCAAAGCTTTAAGAACACTTGTTGAGGATTTGGAAAGGGGATTATTGGTCAGCTATGGGTTAGACAAACTCACCTTTGGGTGTCATCTAATCATTTAGATTGTGATGCTCTATGATTCTTGTCTGGGAAAGAAATCAAGGTCAGAACTGGTCACAGTCACAGCATCTTCTTGTGAGACCCAGAGACCTCCTCTTGAGGCAGCCCAGACAAGCTGCCCCTGACCCAGCCAGGCAGAAGGAGAAGTCCCTGGGCAATGATGCCTCCCTCAGCAGCTGCCTGGGCAGGTTTTTGTTCAGAGCTGTAGCACTGTGTGAGGATTACTATAGCCCTGATGACACTAACAGACCGCAGCATCCTGGTTTCTGTTGATACCAGTGTAGGTTGGAGCCAATGCCCTGACTGGCCCTGCAGGACATGGTCACTCTCTCTCCTGCAGACACTGACAGGGAGGCTGGAGACTGGGTCAGCACAATGGCCCCTCGGGCATCTGCAATCACAAACACAAGATAAAGAGTGAGAAAATGCAAGTCCCTATTTACAGGAGGAGAAATCTCTTACACAGTGTTGTGAGTTCAACCTTCCTGTGCTGGGCCCTGCCCCCATGATCACCAGTGAAGAGCCACGTTTTCTCTCTGACCCTCAGAATCACACACATTCAGACTTCTGCCCAGAGGGACAAAAGGCAGGGCTGTCTCTGCTTTTCCTCATTCACCTGAGATCCAGAACAGCAGGAAAAAGAGCAGCTGAGCCTGGGACCCCATGTCCATGTGCCTGAGCTCTGAGCTGTCCAGCATCTTCCTCCCAGCTGCCTTTTTATAGCTGCCCTCCTCAGTAGCTTCAGGGGCTGGGAGTGAGCCATGCAGAACAGCTCAGGGAGGGAGGTTTCTGCCCACAGGACAGGATCCATTATCTCTCCTCTTAGATAGCTCATATCTCTGAGCTGTATGGGTATAGATTTGCCCTTCTGGAACCCTGGCATGGGGTATCCCAAGGATGTTAGGTCCTAGCCCGGCCCATAATCCCTGAAAACCTCAAAGATGCCAAGAAAGCTCAGGACCAGCCTGGGTCCAGTCAGGAAGTGTCTAGTGACTTCAACAAGGTCACCCTCCACTCTGGCTTGAATTAGCTGCCCATCAATCATGATTCTTATTACATCCCCACTGGTTCATAGTGATTGCTATGAGCGTCTGATCATCGGGGAGGAATTTGTAGGCATTAGAGTTAGCACAACAGAAGGGAGTCATTTCTTAATGTTTAAATAAACCTTGTTTGATTTTTCCTCCATCTGCCCAATTGCCATAGCTACTGAAGAAAGTTCCTGTTACCAAAGTCCTTGGAAATGGCAAATGGTTCAGCCTCAGATGTTGATGTGGTTTGATTAGAAGAAATGATATTAATGAAGAGGAATTCCCATCACTTTGCTGCTGCACCCTGAGGATCATGAGGTCTTTCCATTCAACTTGCAGCTCAAATGTCCAATATGGGTCATCTCCCCCTATTGCGGCATGAGCTCCTGGAGAACACGGACCATCTTACTGCTTCACTTGGGTCTCCAACTCTTAACACAGTGGTTTGCCCATCATAACTGCCTAATCAGTTTTTTAAAAAATTCATTAATGTATTCATTCATGAAAAGGGCACTATAAGAAGCGAACCTTTGGATGGGCCACTAAGGAAAATTCATTTTTCTTCTTCGTTGACTCTACACAGATGATCTGGGAACTTTGGGATATGAATTCCCATGCAAACTGAGGAGCTACAGAATCCTTTAAAAATCACCTAGGTGGGGGTGCTAGGTGGTGCAGTGTATAGAGTAAAGGAGTCAGGAGGACCTGAGTTCAAATCTGGTTTCAGCCATTTACTAGCTTTACAAGAAGAAATTATAAAGAAATTCGAGGCAACTTGAGAAGCCCCTTTAAACTAAATCAACCTATAATAAGTTACTCTTTGACCTCAAGTAAAAATTGGGAATCACTTCAAATAGTGGAAAATACGTTAGTATATATGGATCAGGAATAAGGAATGAAAGAGTCAAGGACTTTAGACTACACAGAATCCTTATACCTCTAGAGCCTTCATAATTTTTGAGAAAAGACATAGTAGGTGATAGACACAATAATCACCAAGTAAAGTCACAAAAACAAGATACTGATCATATTTTAAAGACAGGACCTTACTTATTAACGATGTAAGACTCATTCCTGTGCCTGTTCTGTGTATCATCAGACTACTAATTTGTTTGAGCAAAGATGAAAGGTAAGACATGCATTCAAAACAATTCCATCTTGACACGTTTAAATGAGTTATTGACACTGAAAAAATCTGCCAGCAGAAAATAACAAAGGCATCAATTACAATGACTTTGTACGAAAGTTCATCCGATGAAACCATTGTCATAGAAAGGAGACCAAAAGAATCTAAAACTAAGCAAATATTTAATTTACTTTCCAAATGGAAAAAAGCTGGAACTCAAGGCAATACCAGTTTGCATTATAAGTTCATTTGCAGAATTTTCTAAGAATATTTGTGAGCGGTGTCACCTCATTGACGATGCTATCATACGAAACAGAGAGAAAGACAGAGACAGAGAGAGACAGAGAGAGAGAAAAACAGAGTAAGGAAAAGAAGAACAGCTCAAGACACTATTTAACAGTGTCTAGAGGCTATTTAGGGATAAAAGTAGATGGAGAGGAGAAGAAAGAGGAAAAGGAGGAGTAGGAGGAGTTAGATTTTAGTCCCCGTGTTTTAGAAATGAGGAAACAGACAAGATGAAGAAATTTGCCCAAGGTCTAGCAAACAAATTAAATACTTGTCCCCTTTTTAGGGTCTTTTGGACTTCTTTCTGTGACATTGGATGAACTTTCTTATGAAGTCATTGTAATTGATGCCTTTGTCATTTTCTACTCTCCTGTTGTTCAATGTGCATAACTTGTGGAAATATGTCTAGATGGAATTGTTTTAAAGGCATGTCTCACCTTGGTTCTTTGCTCAAACAAATCAGTAGTCTCACCATACAGAGAAATTATACAGGAATGAGTCTCATATCAGTAAGAAATTATTTCCTGTCTATGAAAATATGATCAATATCTTATCTTTGTGACTTTACTAGGTGCTTAGCATAAGGATGCTGTGTAATCTACAATCCTTGACTCTTCATTCCTTATGCCTGATTCACACATTCTAACATATTTTCCACCATTGCCAATTTTGAATTGAAGTCAATGAGTAACTTATTATAGGTTGATTTACTTTAGAGTTACTTCTGAAGTTTCCTAGAACTTCTCTATGGCTTCTTTTCACTCAGCTAGTAAATGACTAAATCTAGATTTGACCTCAGGTCCTCCTGACCCCAAGGGCAGAGCTTTACCCACTGTAAAGCTCCATCTAGGAGCTTTTTAAAGGATCCTGTGGATACTCCATTTGCATGGGAATTCATTTTCCAAAGTTCCCAGATAATCTGTGTAGAGTCAAGGAGGAAGAAAAATGATTTTCACTGGTGTAGAAGGGCCCATCCAAGGCATGGCTTCTTGTAGTGCCCTTTTAATTAATGAATAAATTAATGAATCAAAAAATACTGATTAGGTAGTCATGATGGACGAAACATGGTGCTAAGAGCTGGAGTCCCAAGGAGAGCTGTAAAATGGCCCCTGCACTCCAGTAACTCACACTGCAATAGGCCGAGATGTCCCATATTGAAGATTTCTGTTGCAAATTGGATGGAAAGACCTCATAGTCTTGAGGGTGCAGGAGCAAAATGATGATATTCCTTTTCCTTAATGTAATTTCTTCCAATCAAACCACATCAATTTCTGAGGTTGAGCCATTTGCCAATGCCAAGGACTTTGGTAGCAGGAATTTTCTTCAGGAGCTGTGGTAATTTTGCATATGTAGGAAAAATTCCAACAATATTTCAAAAACACAAGGAAACGACTCCCTTCTGTTGTACTGACTATAATGCCTACAAATTCCTCGAGATGATCAGACAGTCATAGCAATCACTATGAACCAGTGGGGAGTAGAATAAGAATCATGAGCGATGGGTGGGTGCTTCAGACTAGAATGGAGGGTCACACCATTGAGGTCACAGGACATATATGGGAATCACTTCCAGTCCTGTCCCAGTCTGGTCCTGAGTTTTCTTGGCATCTTTGAAGTTTTCAGGGCTCGTGGTGACAGGATAGAATCCAATGCCACTGGGACACCCCCATACCAGGGTCCCAGAAGAGCGATGCTACACTCACACAGCACAGGGCTCTTGGCTATCCAAGAGGTGAGATCACTGGGACCTGTCCTGTGGGCAGAAGCCTCCCTCCCTCAGCTGTTTTGCATGGCTCACTCCCAGCCCCTGAAGCTACTGAGGAGAGCAGCTACAAAAAGGCAGCTGGGGAGGAAGATGCTGGGCAGCTCAGAGCTCAGGCACATGGACATGGGGTCCCAGGCTCTCCTCCTCTTTTTCCTGTTGCTCTGGATCCCAGGTGAGTGAGGAAGAGCAGAGACAGCCCTGCCTTTTGTAGTTCTGGGTAGAAGTCAGAATGTGTGTGATTCTGAGGGGCAGAGAGAAAACGTGGCTCTTCACTGGTGACCGTGGGGGCAGGGCCCAGCACAGGAAGGTTTCATTCACAACACTATGTAAGAGATTTCTCCTGCTGTAAATAGGGACTTGCATTTTTCTCACTCTTTATCTTGTGTTTGTGATTGCAGATGCCCGAGGGGTCATTGTGCTGACCCAGTCTCCAGCCTCCCTGTCTGTGTCTGCAGGAGAGAGAGTGATCATGTCCTGCAGGGCCAGTCAGAGCATTAGCAATAACTTACACTGGTACCAACAGAAGCCAGGCCAGGCTCCTAGACTCCTCATTAGATATGCTTCCACCCTACATGACGGGGTCCCATCGAGGTTCAGTGGCAGTGGCTCTGGGACAGATTTCTCCCTCACAATCAGCAGTGTGGAGGCTGAGGATGCTGCAGTCTACTTTTGTCAGCAGAGCAATAGTTATCCTCCCACAGTGCTACAGCTCTGAACAAAACCCTGCCCAGGCAGCAGCTGAGGGAGGCATCACTGCCCAGGACTTCTCCTTCCCCCAAGCTGGGTCAGGGGCAGCTTGTCTGGCCTGCCTCAGGGGGAGGTTTCTGGGTCTCAGAGAAAGATGCTGTTACTGTGACCAGTTCTGACTTTGATTTCTTTTCCAGCCAAAAATCATGGAGCATCACAATCTAAATGATGAAATGACCTCTCAAAGGTGGGCTTCTCTAGCCCATAGCTGACCAAAAGTCCCCCTCTCTAAATTCTCACCAAGTGTTCTTATAGGTTGGCTTGAAGACCTCCAGGATAGGGAGTCTATCTACCTAGGGAGCTGGATGGTGCAGTAGATAGAGTCAGGTATGTTGTCAAGAAGACTTGAGTTCAAATCCAGACTCAGACACTTAATAGCTGTGTCAGGTTGGGCAAGTCACTTAACCTCTGTTTGTCTTAGTTTTCTTACCTGTAAAATGGGAATCAGAATACAACCAACTGCTAGGGTTGTTGTGAGCACCTAATGAGATAATAGTGATAAAGCGTTTGGCACTGTGCCTGGCCCTTAGTAAGCACTACAGGAATGTTGCATCTCTTTGTTATTATTTCCACCTCCAGTAATGGATCAGCAATTACACTTTTCCATGGTTCTCATTACCAGGAAGTCTGTTCTTAGTTTACCTGTAAAGTCTGCCTCTCTAACAAAAAATAAAGGATGGGGCAGCTAGGTGGCACAGTGGATAGAGCGCTGCTCTTGAAGTCAGGAGTACCTGAGTTCAAATCCAGCCTCAGACCAAATACTTGACACTAGCTGTGTGACCCTGGGCAAGTCACTTAACCTCAATTGCCTAAAAATAGAACAAAACAAAACAAAAACAAAAACAAAGTCTGCTTCTCTGCACCTTCCACCCTTAGCTCCTCTTTCTGGGGTTTGGTACCAGGCAGAACAAGTCACACCCTCTTCCTTGTAACAGCCCCTTGGATGCCTGAAGGCAGTTATGACATATCCCCATGGCGGTCCTCCCCCAAGTTAAGCTTCCCTGTTTCCTTCCTTCTCTTGGCCTCTGGTTCTTTCCCCATCCTGGCTGCCTTGCTTTGGCTGGACACCAGCCTGTCTAAGTCCATTCTAAAATGGGGTTCCCAGGAGGGAAAGCATTATTCCAGAGGTGATCTAACCAGGGCAAGACTAGAACACCCTGGGACCTATGAAGATGTGGGTTACCCTCCTCTTGACGGAGAAGAAATGCACTCAAAGTACAGAGACATCCATTTCAGGCATGGCTACTCTGGGGATTCGTTTTGTTTGACTGTTTATTTGTGGTTTCACTAAGGCAGAACACCATGAAAGCTTTGGAGTCTGTCCAATACTCACTGGAGTCTAATCCTTATATCCATGTAGATGGCAACTCTGCCATGCATGCCCATGCAATGATATCATTTTTGTCATATCCTTCCTAAGTTCACTGCAAGGGCTCCCCCCAAACCAATGGGGCCCTTCATTTGGGGGGACATCACTAGGACACAATGAAGCAAATGGATCGTCCAACAGTTGTCCCATTCTCTTGCCACTTCTCATACTTTTTCAGCTGACATTTTGCATGATCTCCTTTACCCTCCCCCTTCTCAATAATTCCTTGTTTCGGTTTGTTCTTCCCTGCCATGTGCCTCTCCACTGACTTGTCTAAGCACCACAAGGAAAACTAGACCTGTAAGGACTGCAGTGATGTAAATGAAAACAAAAACATCACAACAAAGCTGAATGCTTCATCCCTGGTATGACCAAGGTTGACCTGGGAGAAGAGCTGAGAAAGGGGACCTTCCTCCCCTCATTTTATTTTGTGTTGATTTACTGGCTGGTTTTACTAAACTGTTCCCACCTACCTTTTATTTTTTAGTATTTCTTATACTCTTTTGAGCATAGGAGGCAGGCATAGATATATTTATAAATTAATGTAAAAAGAAAAGATATTAAAAAAATGAAGTCAAAATTACATGGTCATAACGTGGAATTTATGTATGGAGCTACTTCACTGAGGAAAAAAAATCCAAAAACAGGGAGCCAAGATGGTGGAGTAAAAGCAGTGACTTGCTTGAGCTCTCCTCCAAACCCCTCCAAATATCTATAAAAAACGGCTCTAAACAAATTCTAAAGCAGCAGAACTCACAAAAAGACAGAGTGAAACAAATTTCCAGCCAAAGACAGCCTGGATGGTTAATCAGAAAGATATATCGCGCCAGGCGGGGAGAGAAGCGCAGTTCAGCACGGACACACGGTTGAACAACAGGTCTCAGTGACCCTGGAGCAGGCCTCAGGGGACTGAATCGTGGGCAGCTGTGGCAGTTTCCAGACTTCTCAACCTATAAATGCTGAAGACAACTCAGAAGGTCAGTGGGGAAATTCTGTTTCTACGGTGCTGAGAGGGAAGCACAGTGGGGTTCCAACCCCAGGGCCACGGCTGCCTCCTGAGCTTCCAGCCCACAGACTGAGGGTGAATTGAGTGTCTGATCAGAGGGGGATTGCAGGGATCTCTCTGCTGGTGCAGGATTCTCTTGCTTTGCCCATGCTTGGATCTGGGTCACAGTTCTGGGTGGTGGTCCTGGGGTGAGGAGGAGCATTGGCATGGTGGAACTTGTAGTGGCTGTACAGAGGATACCCTCCTCACAGTTCCAAGACAGAAAAGAGCTCTTGTGGTCACTCATAGACCAGAGCACAGACCAGGAAAGGAGTAAACACTTCTCCTTTGATCATACCACCCTGGAAGAACTGAAAATTTACAGGTCCCTAGAAGTATCTCTGAAAACAGCTGCATAAAACCCCTGAACTTGGGACAGTACATTCTCCACATTGGAAACAGATTCCTACCTTAACAAAGAATTTATAACTCAAGTAATTGGCTGAGATCATGAGCAAGCAGCGCAAAAAGAGTCAGACTATATTATCTTACTTTGGTGATAAAGAAGATCAAAACATACAACCAGAGGAAGACAAAGAAGCCAAAGCACCTACATCCAAAGCCTCCAAGAAAAATATGAATCGGACACAGGCCATGGAAGAGCTCAGAAAGGATTTTGAGAAGCAAGTAAGAGAAGTAGAGGAAAAACTGAGAGTGATGCTAAAGGAGACCCAAAAAAATACTGAAGAAAATAACACTTTTAAAAATAGCCTAACCCAAATGGCAAAAGAGGTCCAAAAAGCCAATGAGGAGAAGAATGCCCTAAAAAGCAAAATTGGCCAAATGGAAAAGGAAGTCCAAAAGATTACTGAAGAAAATACTTCCTTAAAAATTAGAATGGAGAAATTGGAAACTAGGGGCATTTTGAGACATCAAGGCACTCTAACACTAATCCAAAGGAATGAAAACAATAGAAGAGAATGTGAACTATCTCATTGGAAAAACAACTGACCTAGAAAATAGATCCAGGAGAGAGAATGTAAAAATTATTGGACTATCTGAAAGCCACGATCCAAAAAAGAGCCTAGACATCACATTTCAAGAAATTATCAAGGAAAACTGCCCTGATATTTTAGAACCAGAGGGCAAAATAGAAATTGAAAGAATCCACCAATCACTTCCTGAAAGAGACCCACAAAGGAAAACTCCTAGGAATTTTGCAGCTAAATTCCAGAACTCCCAGGTCAAGGAGAAGATATTGCAAGAAGCCAGAAGGAAACAATTCAACTATTGTGGAAACACAATCAGAATAACACAAGATTTAGCAGCTTCTACATTAAGGGTCCAGAGGGCATGGAGTATGATATTCCAGAGGGGAAAGGAGATAGGACTACAACCAAGAATCACCTACCCAGCAAAACTGAGTATAATCCTTCAGGGTAAAACATGGTCATTCAATGAAATACGGGACTTTCAAGCATTCTTCTGGAAAGACCAGAGCTGAACAGAAAATTTGACCTTCAAATTCAAGACTGAAGTGAAACATGGAAGAGGTAAACAGGAAAGAGAAATCAAAAGATATTTATTAAGGTTGAACTGTTTACATTCTTGCATGGAAAGATGATATTTGTAATTCATGAGACCTTTGTCATCATTAGGGTAGTTGGACGGAAAAAATTATATGTATGTATGTATGTATGTATAGATAGATAGATAGATAGAGAGTAGGCACAGAGTGAGTTGAAGATGAAGGGGTGATATCTGGAGAATAAAATTAAGGGGTGACAGAGGATTATAGTAGAAGAAGGAGAAAGGGAGAGGTAGAATGGGGTAAATTATCTCACATAAAACAAGAAAAGGCTTTTAGAGTGGAGGGGAAACAGGGGAATGTGAGAGGGAATGAGTGAATTTTACTCTCATTGGATTTGGCTTAAGGAGGGAGTAACACACACTCAACTGGATATGGAAATCTATCTTACTCTATAGGAAAATGGAAGGAAGGGGGTGAGAGGGGGTAGGATGATAGAAAGGAGGGCAGATTGGGGGAAGAGATAATCAGGAGCAAGCCCTTTTGAGGAGGGACAAGGTCAAAAGAGAGAATAGAATAAATGAGGGACAGGATAGGATGAAGGTAAATATAGTTAGTTTTTCACAACATGACTACTATGGAAGTGTTTTGCATGACTACACGTGTATAACCTGTTATCGAGTTGCTTGCCTTCTCAATGAGGGTAGGTGGGGAGGGAAGAAGGGAGAAAATTTGGAACCTAAAGTTTTAAAACCAATGGTAAAAAATTGTTTTCACAAGCAACTGGGAAATAAGATATACAAGAAATGGGGTATAGAACTCTATCCCATCACCCTGACTCCAACACATACTCTTCAATTCAGTGACACTGGCCTCAGGAATGACCCATGAAACAGACATCCCAGCTGTTGGCTCTGGACACTTTTTCTGGGTGTCCCCCATGCCTGGTACCCTCCCTCCTCATTTCTACTTACTGATTTCCTTTATGTCTTAACTAAGATGCCATCTTTTACAAGAAGCTTTTCCCAACACCTCTTAATTCTGGTGTCCTCCCTCTGCTAATTCTTTCCAATTTATCTGTATATA